TAAACCATCAACTCTGCCCCCTCCAAACACACCAGATAAGTAGATTTGTAGCCTTGGATAATGTTGGCAGCTGTCCGCTGACAATTAAACCACACATCTGAGATAAAATAGTTTTGATTCCAGATTGTTCTTCCGATTCTGTTCCTGTCACTTTTTCAATGTGTTTTCTGAGATAAAGCTGAAAGGCTTTCATGTATCATCTCATTAGCTAGACTGGCAGACTCTGAATTATTTGTGTAATTTGGGTCTTAAAGATATCTATCTCACTTACAGAGAAGGAGACTTGGTGAGGGTGGCATTCACTGTGGGGGAGTGGCTAAAGTACAAGCTAGGAATTCACACAGTTTCATTCAAGAAGCAAGAAACTTATTTCATAAGAGAAGACATTTTTGCAAATGTGGGTATTTTGTATATTTTATTACAAACATCTGCAACAGTATACAACAAGACAGCAGCACTGAAAACAAACCCTATAACAGTATTTACAAGAGAAACCTCACAGTGAGGGAGAAGACAAGTCATGGGCCAGCAGACTGCTTCTTACTTTCTCAGATACTTTGTGTGAATGTCCTTACACACATATATATACACAGTATAAACATATATAAAGCACAAACAAACACTAGCTGGAATGTAAACTGGAGGACTCGGACTCTGTGGTCGTGGAGGCGCCGGGGCGTCTTCTTGGTAAAATCTTCAAACTGGAGGCTCGGCTCAGTGTGAGGGCTCTACGAGCCGAATTCTTGAACCCGGCCCCCAGGAAGGCGTACAGCAGTGGGTTCAGGCAGCAGTGTGCAAATGCCATAGGCTCAGCCACCGCCAGCCACACGCCCAGGACGGCCTCCAGTCTGCAGCTGCGGGGCAGGACCTCCAGGCGCAGCAGAGCGTCCACAGAGATGCCAGCTCCGTAAGGCAGCCAGCACACGAAGAAGCAGAGAACCAATGCGATGGTGGTCCTGACAGCTCGCCGCTTCTGCCTCTGGCCCCCCAGAGGGCCTCGGGTCAGCCTGGTGACAATGACACAGTAGCACACTAGGAGGACCAGCCCCGGGATCACCAGACCCACCAGGACCAGCTGGAGGTGGAAGACTGCAACCCAGAGAGGAGCATTGTCTGCAGGGTAGAATCGCTGGCACAGAGTGGCACCCTCTCCTCCTTCCTGAGTCCGGGCAAATATCAAATCGGGCACTGCCAGGAGGCCAGCAGGCAACCAGGCGCCTGCAGGGAAAGAAGAAGATAAAACGAAGTAAGGGACTGTGAGAGTAAGAACTATGAAAGAAGAATAAAAGAATTGCAAAGGGAACGGCATCAACAGAATGATCTTTCGAGACTCACCCACATAAACCAGTCTGTGTGCCAGCAGCTGCCTCAGTCCACCGGTGTTGGTGTCCGTGGCTCGGACCACCGCCAGGTAGCGGTCCAGGCTGATGAATGCTAGGATGAGCACACTGCCGTACAGGTTCACCGTGTAGATAGCGTGTACACCGACGCAGGTGGCTGCTCCGAAACGCCAGTCAGCCAGGGCTGCTTCCACGGCCCAGAACGGCAGTGCCAGAACAAAGAGGAGATCAGCGGCTGAGAGATGGAGGCGGTACCAGTCTGTGAGGCTGCATTTTGACCTGTAGACAAACACAGGAGGGTAAATCCAGTCATTAAGCCTTATTTCTTATTGCTTCTTGTAAAGGACAAAAAGCTTATCAACCACCAAACCCCTCAGCCATCCTCTCACCTGCGCTGGCAGCCCAGCACTATGACGACCAGGCCGTTCCCGGTGATGCCCAGGGTGAAGATGAGGGCGTAGACCACAGGCAAGAAGACATGCTGAAGGTCAGCAGTCATCACGTGCTCCACTTCACAGGGCTCCTCGAGATCCATCCCCAGGTCACCAGAACCAGAACCAGAACCTGAGCCTGTGTCATTGTAGTCGTATTCAAAGAAGATATGCTGGGGACAGATGATAGGTGATGATCATTAAGGGCACAGAGCGAGTAAAAAAGGCAACAATTGATCCTAAACACAGATTTATAAATTAACATACAAGCATGACTGCACTTCACTAACATACTTACCTCATAGTATGACATGACGGAGGCAGTCAGTCTGTGTCAGTCTCAGCGGAGTGTGAAGCTGAGATTTCTGTCTACAGCGGTTATATAGTTGTGTTCATGCTCCTCCCCCAAACACTCCAACACATCTGTGTTCCTGCTGAAACGTTTTTCCTGTTTTCGAGGTGTCAGGTGCTGATAGTGGTTCTATCACAGGATACTGTGTTGTGTGTGTACGCTGCTTGAATTGTTTTGGCCCTGAGACCTGTGGTTTGTGATAATCAGGATCTATTGGCAATAGGAAAGAGTACATATGAGAACCAGACAATATACAGGTGCTGGTCATATAATTAGAATATCATCAAAAAGTTGATTTATTTCAGTAATTCCATTCAAAAAGTGAAACTTGGATATTATATTCATTTATTCCACACAGACTGATATATTTCAAATGTTTATTTCATTTAATTATGATGATTAAAACTGACAACTAATGAAAATCCCAAATTCAGTATCTCCGAAAATTAGAATATTACTTAAGACCAATACAAAAAAAGGATTTTTAGAAATGTTGGCCAACTGAAAAGTATGAACATGAAAAGTATGAGCATGTACAGCACTCAATACTTAGTTGGGGCTCCTTTTGCCTAAATTACTGCAGCAATGCGGCGTGGCATGGAGTCCATCAGTCTGTGGCACTGCTCAGGTGTTATGAGAGCCCAGGTTGCTCTGATAGTGGCCTTCAGCTCTTCTGCATTGTTGGGTCTGGCGTATTTCATCTTCCTCTTCACAATACCCCATAGATTTTCTATAGGGTTAAGGTCAGGCGAGGTCATGCTGGCCAATTAAGAACAGGGATACCATGGTCCTTAAACCAGGTACTGGTAGCTTTGGCTCTGTGTGCAGGTGCCAAGTCCTGTTGGAAGATGAAATCTGCATCTCCATAAAGTTGGTCAGCAGCAGGAAGCATGAAGTGCTCTAAAACTTCCTGGTAGACGGCTGCGTTGACCTTGGACCTCAGAAAACACAGTGGACCAACACCAGCAGATGACATGGCACCCCAAACCATCACTGACTGTGGAAACTTTACACTGGACTTCAAGCAACGTGGATTCTGTGCCTCTCCTCTCTTCCTCCAGACTCTGGGACCTTGATTTCCAAAGGAAATGCAAAATTTACTTTCAGAGAACATAACTTTGGAGCACTCAGCAGCAGTCCAGTCCTTTTTGTCTGTAGCCCAGGCGAGACGCTTCTGACGCTGTGTCTTGTTCAAGAGTGGCTTGACACAAGGAATGCGACAGCTGAAACCCATGTCTTGCATACGTCTGTGCGTGGTGGTTCTTGAAGCACTGACTCCAGCTGCAGTCCACTCTTTGTGAATCTCCCCCACATTTTTGAATGGGTTTTGTTTCACAATCCTCTCCACTGTGTGGTTATCCCTATTGCTTGTACACTTTTTTCTACCACATCTTTTCCTTCCCTTCGCCTCTCTATTAATGTGCTTGGACACAGAGCTCTGTGAACAGCCAGCCTCTTTAGCAATGACCTTTTGTGTCTTGCCCTCCTTGTGTAAGGTGTCAATGGTCGTCTTTTGGACAGCTGTCAAGTCAGCAGTCTTCCCCATGATTATGTAGCCTACAGAACTAGACTGAGCGACCATTTAAAGGCCTTTGCAGGTTTTGAGTTAATTAGCTGATTAGAGTGTGGCACCAGGTGTCTTCAATATTGAACCTTTTCACAATATTCAAATTTTCTGAGATACTGATTTTGTTTTTTTTTATTAGTTGTCAGTTATAATCATCAAAATTAAAAGGAATGAACACTTGAAATATATCAGTCTGTGTGGAATGAATGTATACATTATACAAGTTTCACTTTTTTTGATGATCTTCTAATTATATGACCAGCACCTGTATATGTGTGTGTGTGTGTGTGTGTGTGTGTGTGTGTGTGTGTGTGTGTGTGTGTGTTTAACAGTATCTCTCCGAACACCATGCTCTGTTAAATCAGGACAAGCAGCAGGAGTTTCAGCTCTCACCGGAGTGTACTTGAACATACTTTTATTTGCGCCACTGTCTTATATGATTTATGCACGAGTGGGAGAAAAGGTGGTAGGTAGGTGAGATGTGAGATGATTATCAGCTTTGTTCTGGTAAAGCTGTAAGACGCCCTCCGCTTTTTCACTGTCAATGAACCACGAGTGTGTGTTTGCGATAACTATGAGCAAAATGTTTCAATGCCAACGTGAGCAGCACATCCCTCCCATTATGGAGACTGGAGTGTGAACCTGGACTTCTACAGTGTGCAGTATGATCAATTAATACATTTTTAAACATGTGGTTTAAAACTATATTTAAAGGATCCATTGTAAAACTGAAAGTAAAATTTCTTTTTTATTTCATTCAACCTTTATATGAAATAATTATAATTTAATTTTGAAACAAAATAGCAAATTAATTCTAAAACTTTCCAGTTTTATCTCATTTAATTAACTAATGTGTCTGTCTGTATGTATCAAGTTCAATTTCACATTTCATTTGCTTCCCACTTTGACATTTACAGTTTCTCTTTCATGACCATTTTAATCTAAAGTGTAAACAGCACGGAGCAACAGCTTGAGCTCTGATTGGCCAGCTGCAGTGTTTTGGTAGGAGTCTGGCCAATGAGAACGCCTACTGCTCTGTGAATTCCACTTATTTTTTAGGTAGCACAAATAAAGGTTAAAGCAACAAACTAATTTCAACTGTAAGATTGGAACATGACAGGCAGGCACAATAAATGTATAAATAAATTAAATTTTAATGCCATTTCATTAGAATCAATGTATTGATTGATTAGAATTAAACTCCTGCGTGTGATGCAGAATTGGTCAGAACATACAGACACATTTCCTGGCTTGGCACTGGCAGTTCTGTCTGTAAATCCCCATCCTCTCCCAATACATTAATCCCATAAGTGAACAGCAACACCCACCACCCCCACAAAAGAAATGCTGTCAAACCCTCAGTCCCTTATCTCTTTCTCGTTTTCCTCACCCTTCCTCTACATTCACTGGTATCAGCACAAACATCTCAGAAACAACACTGCTGTGTAAACCTCCTTGAATGTGGAACACAAACTGATGTTAAAAGATTTATTCCTGGTCAACAAAATGATCACCATGACTTGGTATAAAGCTGCTTCTTGTAACAGGCACCAGAACAGACAGTATTAATTGGAAATTGTGCTGCTGAAGAGCAAGTTTTTTTTTAAAGCCGACATTTTGAGCTTTCATAACAGGAAACACACAGGAGTAAACAATTATTAATTAAAAGCTGCATTTCATTTGTATATGCTAGTACCAAGGTCCTGGTTATTGTGCATACTGACTCACTAGGACACTAAATGATCGTTAATTGTATTAATTACACCTGTGCTTTTCCTGCTGTGACGAATCATGTCTTCTGTTATAAAAAAGGGCAATAACTGAGGCACACAGGGTTAATGTAGTGTAACCGGGGTCCTTCATTAAAGTGGCGCCACCATGTGGACTTTGACAGAAAGAGTCTAACAGCCCAAAAACTCTGAAAATACTACGAGCTACAAGAGTAGTGTAAATAAACTATTCCCTTTCCAATGTTCACAGATCATGGTTTGAACCCGGTATATTCTCGATTTTTTTATTCATACAGAAGGGGCAGAAATGCACTGTATCCCAAATCTATACTACCTACTAAAAGTATACAGTATGCTCTTATATATGTTAAGCATTGTAGTTCAACATATAAAGCAACATACCTTACTATTTATGCAAAGAGGAAATGATACAATTGCCGTGAAAGTGCAACTTCTGCTGTCATAAATTAAAATTATGGGTTGCATTTGTGAGTACAACCTCCATTTCTTTAGTGCATTACATTGTGGGAAAACATCAACACACACAAAAAAAGCAAATACCTAAGCAAATTTGTCATTTTTTTAGTATGCTTAATCCTGTCACTTTTCTAGCGTGAAGACATAATATGTTCAAAACCTGCTTTGAATTAGTATGTCACAGTGAATCATCTGGATCCTTGTATTGAGGTGCTCATGTAGGTCTACCGGCAGAGGAAATGTTAAATCGGTCTGTCATAGAGATACGATAAACAGTATTAAAAAAAAAATCTCCCCACACACAGTCATCCTGTTGTACGAATCTTTAAATGTAATTTTGAAATTTAAGAAAAAATAAATAACACAATAAGTATGTGGAACTGCAGCAAATATTTGCTAAAAAAACAGGCATATGCACAGGTATTTGACTGCAATAAACAGGTATATGTCTCCAATTAAATGGCAACAAGTATTTACAAACTGATATTCAAAACAGAATAACAACCGGGCTGAACAACCCTAAAGGTCAACGAAACATCACAAGTTAAAGCTACTTCAGAGCTTGAATGCTTGATACTGTAGTGGTTAAACTATGGTTTTAAAAAAGTTGCCTCACTAACGTGTTTCTCTCACAATCTTGCTGCTGTTCCCACGCAACTGACAAAGCAAGTCTCTGAATCCGCCCCTCTTTGGTGCATCCTGCTTGGGTGGGTCCAGTGTGACTGTGAAAGGAATCAACTCAACAGTCAGATCTTTCTCCGCTGGACTGCCGATTTCTTTATCGCTACTACCCGTAAAATCAGGGCAGCTACTGGGGGAGCTGGTTGGACGAAGATCATCGGTACAGCTAACACTGATGTGTTGGAGGCGACTGTTGCTGTTGAGACGCTGCTGCTTAGCAGCGTTTGGACCCTGAGAATCATCTCTTTTCCTCTTCCTCCTGTTCTTCTTCCTCTCCTTTGTCACTGGCACTCTGAGGTTCCTGACACAAAAACACACCACACTTTATTACGTTTATTGAAATGCAATGTGGCTCCGAAGGATTGGCCAAATTGATGGTCACGGAGGGTAACTGATCAACAACACTGAAATTTGTGTAATTGTAGGTTTAATTACCTTTCACTTCCCTAAAGGTTCAGCGTGTAACTTTTAGTGGCATCTAGTGGTGACAGTTGTGAATTGCAGCAAATTTCTCACTGTGCATTCACTTGCTCTTTGGATGAAATAAGTAATTTATAATAAATGTATTAATTCTAATGGCAATTGCAAAATCAGCAGTAAAAAACCATAACTTTTTTCTTTTTCTCCATGAGGTTGTACATTATATCAATTTAATTTCCAAATCCAACAACAAAAAGGCTGTGAAAACCAACAGCATATGGTTTCCTTTTAATATCTTTCGTCTTTTTGCAATAAAGATTTAAGGAGGAAAAAAAGAAATCCAATTATTCCTGACACCACATGAATCAACTATAGCAGGCTGCAGCGCATCATTCGCTCTGCAGAGAAGTTGACTGGCTGCAATCTTCCTTCTCTTCTGGACCTGTACTCCTCAAGGACTCTGAGGCGAGCAGGAAAGATTGCAGCTGACTCCTCCCACCCCAGACACAAACTGTTCCAGACTCTCCTCTCTGGCAGGAGGCTGCGGTCCATCAGGACCAAAACCTCTCGCCACAAAAACAGTTCCTTCCCGTCTGCAACTTGCCTCATTAACAAGGCCCGGGTCCCCCACTGACACTCCCCCCTTGCAAACGATACAAATGTCTCTGCACATGTAAATACCGTTTCATCTCATGTCAGGCTCAGACCTGGTACGTCGCACATATTTGTTGTTGATCTTTGTTGTTGTAAATTTTTATGTTGTCAGTTTATATATTTATATGTACACAATATTCTCTTGCATTACGTTACTTCTGCACGGCACAGACCTAGAACAGTGCACATGTATATATCTGCAACGTTGTTCTTCAATTCCATATTTATATATATCCACATTTATTTATGTCGACTGTATGTTTGTCTCCGTGTAGCACCTTAGCACCACAGCAAATTCCTTGTATGTGTAAAACACTACTTGGCAATAAAGCTCCTTCTGATCCTTCTGATTCTTCTGATCAGTCACCGCTCACCCCTCCTTTTCCAAGCACGGAGAAGAAGCTATAGTGGTAAATAATACGTGTGGTCCTATGTCAGGTCTTTATACACCACTGGAAATATAGTTATGTCAACAGATCCTCAGAAGTATTACACACTGAACAGAACCTTTAATGTAATTTAAATAAAAAATCAAAACAAAAAAAACCCACACCACATTCAAATAATTTCTGATGTAAACAGGCTTACTGATCTGCTGAACATGTATTATGTGTACAGATGCATTACCTCTGAAGGAAAGTGTGTGACCTCGAGCAGGTTGATGATTCTCTCTCTCCCACAGACTGCTTTCTACTGCTCTTGGTACCGTTCTTCACCTTAAGCCTTTTCTTAACCAGCTGTACATGGATCAAAAGCTTCCTGACAAAAAACAGAGAGGTGTGTGGTCAGCTGTCAGCTGACAGAAAGTGGATTTGTGTGACTACTGGTGTGTCACCTTAAAATCTATTAACCGATACACACACACAAACACACGCGTGCGCGCACACAAGCAGCCTTACCCTCTTGCAATAAGCGGCCTCCTCGGTCTGAACGTCTTGATCAGGACCCACTGGTCACAGGTCAGAGACTTGGGATCTAAAGAGAGGTTGAACGTGTTAGGATGTACCCAAGGGAGTTGCTTTGTTTTGAGACACAAGGGCTCAGATAGGGGGTATGACGATACACAGTATTGGCTTCACAAGATAATATATATCCTATATTTAAATTGCATGTTTTCTTATTGTACAATTACATCTTTTCTTGTTGCTATTTTTCAGAACATTTTTTAAAAAATGTTTTGAAAAAATAAAGTGACAAAATCTGCCATTTCAAAAAGTGATGGGACATGTCCCCAGCGTCCCCAATGTAAATGACACCTATGGATGTACCTGAATATAGACTTGAGTGTAGCCTGTGTGAATGTATAAGTTATTCAGTCTCAGTGCACTGGGGTGAAATTGGTAACAACACAGGCTTTGGACGTTTTGCCTCTGACCTCCATTATACGGATGTGAAAGTGCTGCATTAACTTTGCCAACATCACTAGAAAGCTTACGTTGTCGGCCACCACATGTACTAAAATAAACTGAAATTATTTTCAAGGAGCAGAAGCTTGTCAATTGTGCCTTTTCTGTGTTCTGGTATTTGATGTAGCAGCGACCCAATTTTCCCGCACTTACATTATATTTTCATCTTTTGTTGCTGAAACAAGGAATGAGCACACTCACCATTGTCTAAGAGTTTGTTTTTAATTGGTGCTTTCATCTTCTTTGCCTTCTGGTAGAGCTTGCGACAGGCTGAGCACAAGCCCTGCGAGGGTCTCGGTTTCTTGGAAGCGCCGTTATATAGCAGAGAAGGTCCAGAAGCTATGCTGCTGGTGACGGAGACACTGTCTTCATCTGACACATCCACTCCTTTATCAGCTACCTCTACAAACTTTACTTCATCCTCTTCTGCAACAAGTTTTGCGTCATGTGTACTGTTGATGATGTCAAGGATGTCACGGACCCTCCCGTCATCTGTATTAACTACACTGTCGGAGGCTTCGGCCTTCTTCAGCCCTGTCCTGTGTCTCTTACCCTTCAACCTCCGCTGGATAACTTCTTCATTTGGGCTGGGGCTTCGCTCTGGACTCTTCTTGGAGATCTTCGGTAGTCTGGAAGAACGTCGGCGAAACATGGGTCTTTCCCACTTCAGACAATATTCAAATGACCTGTGACAGAGAGCAACAGTGTCTACCTGTGATGAAGCACCTATAAAGTGTAATACATTGGTATGTGATCACTAAGGTGCACAGCTTTATCTTATGTCATAGTTTAGGTCACAGGCTGACAACATTTAAGAAAGTTTTCATAGGGTCTTACCTATAATATTCTACTCTTATGGACGATGTATGAATGAACGTCTCATATCTGTTTGCTTCATACACACTGTCAGACAGATGCCTGTAAATTTGAAAACAACAAACCACTTTAAAGACAAATAAATATAACAATGGAAAAGGGGGAAAAAACACAGCAGAGTACTGAAATGTGATAATGTTCCTGTTTCTGCGTATCTCAGTTATGATGTGCTTGCTCTGTCGCACACAACCTTTCACATCTTTGACTATATTGCAGGATTTGTTTTCATCTTAACAGGAGCACAAAGGACCTGCGGGCTGATACTGACCGACTGTTCGTCTGTACATTGTATGTATTGTTGCTGTCAGATAAGTACAGTGCACACAGCTCACTACATATATCTTCATTGTATTTTGCCTTGAGCCCCAGAAACCAGACAGTGCTGTTTTGACCCACTACTTTCCACACAGGTTTGCTGCGTTTCATTTAGTCTGTGTTAATTTCATTAAACCCCACTTTATATGTGATTATGCGTCACGTAAGCACAATATCAACTGATATCATAAATCTCTGAAACAATGTTTTTACACAGGACCTCTCCACAAAACAGGTAACCATGGACTAACAGTTATCCGCAATACGATGCTTATTGTTTTAGCTGCTATTTCAGTGGTGAACATCTCCAACCTAACCTGAAATGAACCAAATGATCACAAACCGAATGATACAAAACTGAACCTGGTCATCGATCCGTGCTGGACTACGACCCTGGGACTGGTGATCCAGTTAGGTTTGGCCAACACACTTGGTCACACTCAAAAACGTCAATAATCGTTGACGTTATACTGTTGCTCAGCTAATTTTAGCATCCTGGCTAAGATAGTGAGACAAAAATAAACAAGACTAAGTTACCGGGATCGACTTCTTCCATGCTGAAATCAAGTTAGTCACTCAGCAGTGACTTTAAAACTTACTTTGCCTCAGATCGCTCACAGTTTACGTATTTTGACCGCTTGTTCATGTTTGATGTCTGAACTAATTAACGGGGGGCTTACTTGTTAACATACGGGCTCGTGCCCCTCTGAACTCGCGGACCTCTGTTGGCTGTTGGAGGACAACCTACTTGAAGTTGCGCGCGGGGGAAGAGAAGATTGTTGCTGCTTCCTTCTTCATCTACTTCTACTTCTTCTACTTTGTGAATTTTCTTTGCGGTTGCCAAACAACGAATTTGCGCATTATCGCCGCCAACTGGTTTGGATTGTGGCTTCGTCGTCGGTTTTCACGGCTGTTACCTTCAATAGCTCCGTGTCAAAGACTCCATCTCTCCCAGTTTTGGGATATGTTGAAGAGCTAATTTAGTCAGACGTTTCACAGTTTTGATCACCTCAAAATCCCTGAAGATGACGATACAGTCAAGAGCGCAATGAACTGAATGTCTGTCCAAGTGTAATGGCTTTCTCAAACCACTGCTTATATAAATAGTGACCACCTTTAACCCTTCAGAGTTCCTGGTGACATTTTGTGCCATTCAGTTTTCTTTTATTCTCAAGACATTTTGGCTGAGTTAATTATATATAGCGCAAATTTGGCAGAGCATATTCTTTTTTAAGAAATTTTAGAATCGTCGTCTCAGTTCGTTAAATTAGCTAAGCGACGCAAAACCCGACACATTTGTCCCTTATGGCAAAAAAAGAAAACCATTGAAAACCACTGAAAATGCCTTTTTGGAACCCACATTTATCTTGACCTAAACTGATGCATTCCTCTATGTTAAGATTTCATTTTGGACTACTAGCTTTCAAATTTAAATTTTTATATTTGTTCACCACTTTGTGATACTTGCATGCAGGAAAACACTTTTTAACTGTTTTCTGCAAGGGAGCCTTGCCACTGAAATGATATGTGTGTGTCATATTGATGTTGGATAATGGTGGTGTTTTCTCTTAGAGAAGTTTTTCTCTCTTGTAATAATGGAGTTAGCATACTGCATTACCACATAATTTATGATTTGGTACTATATATATAGTATAGTACCACAGAATATATGGTATAGTAGCATGTATGGTAAAGTACGACAGAATGTGTGGTATAGTACGACAGAATGTATACTACCACAGAATATATGGTAAAGCACTGCAGAGCATGAGGTACAATCCTGTACTAATACCACAGAAATTGTGTTGTATTTTACAATTATTTTACCAGCCTCCCAGACAGCCACCCCTGAGGAAGAGGGCCCACACCCACCCCGACACAATTTTCACTTAATATTTTTAACTCTATAATATTGTTGTGGCTTTCTAGTCAAATCTAACAACTAACAACTTTATTGGACTTTATTGAAGCATCAAACCTTACTAAGCTGCTGTGTCTGCAAATAGCAGACAAAAGTGCACATGAAAAACATGCAAAGCAACAGAATGATTATTATTTAACATATAGCCGAGATTTTGCAGAAAAAATTCAGATGCAATTCCCAACGTAATCATGAACACTTTCATAAGTAACTGTAATTTAATTATACATTTTTCCCAGTAATGGTAACAGATTACAGTTTTTACATTTATTTTTTGTAAGTTGAATTACGTAACTAAATTACATATAACTAGTTACTCCCTGAAAACTGACAACATATCAATTTTGTTGAGATGTTATAGATAACCAACCATATAGTACACCCACTATGTGGTCATGTGCATGTGCTCCATCGGCTGATAAGTGTTACAGTAAAGTTCTTGTTTTGCCAGACTGTGTGTTTGTATGCAGTAGTAATCCCATTATTCCTCAATTTTGGCAGTGTAGTGAAAAAAATATATTTTAAACTGTTTGACCTTTGCTTTCCCTCTCTGGATTAATCTGCGAGACAATAGATCAAATGACACCTTCAATGAAAGTCCCTTGTTTTTCACCAACAACTGTTAGCTAGGACTGCAAATGTCGCTCTTGTTTAAGTGAGGACTTTGAACACACACAACTCTGCTAACTTACAGAGGAATTTCAACAACACAGATTAGCGTGAGGGGAGGGGACAGCACAGAGAAGTCCACTTTGACCACCTTTTTTTCTCTTTGTTGGATTCAGTGAGCTGTTGACCCCGAGGAAAGAGAATAATGTGGAAAGCAGCAGTGTTTGTGTTCCTGCTGCTAAACATGGATTTGCAGGTGAGTGGGGCTGTAGATAAGACGAGGCGGTCCGTTGCAGAAAACTCCAGGCCAGAGAAGAAGGTGGAGACTGAGGAGGCCGAAGCCACCAGCACCATTCATGCACGTGACACTGGTTCTTCAGGTTTCTTGGGCAACTTGCTGGTGGTACCCATGGATGGGAGTCACTGGGTGGGAATAAAGGCTGTTGCCCAAGAAATGGGTCGTCGTGGGCACCGGGTCACTGTGGTGATACCAGAGGTCAGCATACGGATGGGTCCAGGGAAACACTACGACGCTGTCACCTATCCTGTTCCTTATGACAGAGAGTATATTGATTCAATCATGGCCACACACAAGGACATATTGCACAAATCTTCACAGTCGTTCACGGACAAAATAAGGAAACGATTTTCACAAATCCAGAGAATTACAAGTTTTATCCACACCACTGCAGAGCGCCTACTGTTCAATGCCAGTATCATTTCACATCTGGCACAGCAGGTGAGTACAAATACAGACGATGAACACAAGACCAGGATGAGGTGTAAAATGCCTTGCATGTTATACTGAGTTTGTAACATTTGTTGACTGAACACTTTAACTTATTTTGGGATGTTGCTGTATTGGATTGTATTATATATGTGTAAGTGAAGTGTTTCTCATTCTGGTGTTCCAGCACTTGTGTACAACTCTGTATCTATTAAAATTAGGATAGTGGTGAAAGAAGTATTTACGTTCTTTATTTATGTGAAAGTAAGGCAAAAATATAATTATAATTTTGTGTTCACTTTTTGGACTTTTCTCTTATTTTTGTTTTTGTTGCAAAATATTGGAGAAATTTACCCCTATGGGCGTGAAACACATGAAACCATGTGTGAAGTTTAGAGGGAAAATGGCTCTGAAACATGACAAAAGGCCCTAACCAGACACTGTTTTTTGTAAGTCAAAGATGTTAGAAACCACTGGTTTAGTCATTGAACATGCATTGTATTTGATATGTTTATCATACTGTATGTTTTTAATGAGCGAGAAGGATGGTACTTTTGTTAATGCAAAAACAGTGATCTGTCTTATCGACCGCTGATTTACCCCCGATCACAGCCTGATGGTCGCCGAGCAGAAAATCGGGCTGAAAATCGTGTAGTGTGAACTACGCTTTATTCGATGATCAGCTTCCCTCTTCTGTAGAATCAATGCATGAGTGTATATGTAGAAGGTGCTTTATTAGAACAAACTGTTGATGATTCACCCCTTTCTCCTGTTTTTTTTCCTTTGCCTCTTTCTACTCTGCAGAAATTTGATGCTGTCTTAACAGACCCCATGGTGCCCACAGGCTCGTTAATAGCTCGTAAATTAGGTGAGTTTTGCCAAACTTTTAATTTCGGTGTTATCATCTCCACATCTTCTCACTAGTCTTCCCTAAATCCTTTTCAGGTATCCCCACTATTAATTTGCTGAGGGGTATTCCTTGTTCCTTGGATATGATGTCTGCAGGCTGCCCCTCCCCACCATCATATGTGCCTCGTTTCTTCACTGGATACACAGACAGAATGAGCTTCAAGGAGAGAACTTTCAACACCTTGGTGAGCACTAATAGCCACATATGCATGGACAAGTGCACGTTTTTTTTTGTAAAATCAACTCTACTTTCCTTTTTTAAGTAGAGCACAGATTACACGTTGACCAAAGTAATCCCACTGCTTCACATTTTTCATTTTTTTTTCTATTTGTCATATAATACTACAGAAATAGTCAGGTAGCCTATTTCTGAGATGTTGGCAATGAAAAACCCTGCCCCGATGAACATGCCACGACTGTCAGACCACCTCACGTCATTTAGTCTGACAATGTGGCAGAAGCCCTAAGTGTCTCTCTCTCTACTTTAGGTCACGATGGCCCAGTTAAACTTGGACTTCCACTTTAGTGCTGTTAAAGTATAATATGGCCCACATAACTGAAAGCACCTCTGTCTTACTTTGTGATATTGTGTATTTTTCTGTGATGCCTCTGACCTGCAGGTGGCTTTACTGGAGCCGCTGCTATGTCGACTGCTGTTTTGGCACTTTGACAACATAGCCCATGAGTTCCTGGGAGAGGAGGTGGGCGTGGCTGAAGTGCTGTCAGACTCTGCTATCTGGCTGCTGAGGTAACATGTACAAAGGTTGTTATTTGGGAGAAGACACACACACCAACGTTGACTATCCTATGTAGAAGTACAAACAAACTATTGCACTGAAACAGGGGAGGAATACAACGCAAAGGTAATTTTACTGTTGCTGCTATTTTGTGCCACTAATGAACACTGAAAGAAAAACATTATCTGTCCCATATTCACATAAATATTGTGATGCTGTGTTTAAACAGGATTGACTTTGCGCTGGAGTTGCCACGCCCTCTCATGCCGAATATAGTTCTAGTTGGTGGAATCAACTGCAATGTGAGAGACCCTCTGCCTGAAGTAAGCTCCATATGTTTTGGATTTTAATGCAGGGAGATGGAGATAGATAAAGAGAGATGAATGCAGACCTACTGTGCATGTGTTTTGTGCAGGATTTGGAGTCCTGGGTGTCAGGAGCGCATGGCTTTATAGTGTTCACTCTGGGCACCATGGTGTCAGACCTGCCAAAAGAGATAACCGCCGTCTTCCTAGAAGCCTTCAGACAGATTCCACAGAAGGTACAGGAATATATGAACATGTGTTAAAATGCATTTTAAATCATACATCAATGCAATAAATGACACTGTTTTTATAGGTAATATGGAGGTACACTGGGCAGGTTTCAGAAAGTGTCCCAGAGAATGTGAAGATGATGAAATGGGTGCCTCAGAATGACCTGCTAGGTGTGTAAATCCACTGTAACACATTCCTGAAACTGGCCCATGATGGTTCACATACCGTAACATCTGACATCCTGTGTTGTGTGTTAGCACATCCTGGAGCTCGAGCTTTCATCACTCACGCTGGCTCACATGGTCTCTTCGAGGGACTGTGTCACGCTGTTCCCATGGTGATGGTGCCAATTGCGGGGGACCAGCCTGACAATGCACATAAGTTTGCGAGCAGAGGAGCGGGAGTGGTGTTGGATATTGTGTCGATCACTACAGAAAGTCTTCTTCAGGCCTTGAATGAGGTCATCAATGACACCAGGTGAGGGGTCAGAAGGTTGTTCACAACGTGGTTGTCAGTTTTCTCATTAAAAAGGAACTCCTTAAATCTTGGTGCTAATATAAAGATGTTTTAGGAACTGCTTTTCACACCATCTCCTCAGCGATGTATTCTTCAACGCTTGCTGTCAATCTGTTTCCGTCCAGGTATAAAGACAGTGTGCAGAAGCTGTCAGCTCTCCATAAAGACAGACCAGTTGACCCACTTGACCTTTCAGTGTACTGGACAGAATTTGTGATGCGGCACAAAGGGGCGAAACATCTCAGACCTGCTGTCCATGAACTCAACTGGCTCCAGTACTACTGCCTGGATGTAATAGCGCTACTGGCTATTGTAGTGCTGTTTTTTGTAATGGTGACAGTAAAATGCTTGAAACTATGCTTCTGGATACTGAGCAGAAAGAGGAAGCAGGACTAACCTGGTGTTACCTTTGCACCTTCATCTAAGCAACAACACTGTTTGTTAAGGGAGATTGAAAACTCAATACCATTTAAATAGTAGTGCAAAGTAAACCTGTTTATGGTCTAAGAAGAATAAGGGAATCTATGGGGTGATCAAAAATACATTTAATAAACAGATAATACAGATTATTATTAGACTCCATTATGGACTTGGCTTGAGGGACAATGATTAGTATGTCGTCTTCACTACAGCGTAGGAGCTGCTGCTTTCCAAATAGTTAAACTCTTCCTTGCAAAATGATTAGTTAAGTCATACTGAAGCTTTTCTTGGTGTTTACTGTGGCTCTCAACATCTTCTTACATAGACAGGTTGAATACTGTCACACGACGGAATACCAAATATCACAGTTTTGTTAGCTACATGAGTTTTTTTCCCCCTATGTAAATACAAGTAAAATAAAATGTTTTAATTACAAATGATTTTGTCATCCTTCCATATAAATATAATCTTTCAACATTAACCTACGTACTGTGAAATTATTTACTTACAACGTTGCCTCTCTGGCATTTACAAGTATCTTAAGTTATAGAGCAAGTGGATAGATTCAGGTGGCTTCCTGAAAAGGTAGGAATTCCTTGAGCATATCCAGATATCACACACTTATACAAATACGTCTTCTGAACATTATGCATTAAGGGCAACACAATGAGCATTAGTGGCCATCCTTTGGTGGGAAGAGGGCACACTCGATAGCCAGGTTAAAAAGGCAGACAAAATATAATACTGATTGAGATGTTATAGACAACCAACCACATACACCCCCTACATGGTCACGTGTATGCTCTATCGGCTGATCCGTGTAATAATGATGTTGTACTTTATACTACAAGTGTTGCTGAAGTTTTGATCTCTTCAACTGGCAGTGTCTTGCCAGCTAGTGTGTTTATATGCACAGTAGTAATCCCATTATATACTCACTTTTGGCATTATAATGGAAAAAGTATTTTAAACTGCTTTGCTTTCCCTCTTTGATTCAATGTTGAACATGGACAAGTGATAAGTGGTTTTGGTTTCTCTACACCTTGACTTAGCAACAGTGTATTACAAATGGGAGGCTGGGAGTACAGGGCCCTCAGAGAAACAGGATCCTGCGGTTAAGATGAGGCAACTGCAGAATGCTGATTCTAGCAACAAACTAGTGAACTATTTCTGACCTTTGGGTAACAGCGCCTCCCCTACATTCTCACCTTGTGTACAAAATAATATACAGGAAAGGAGGTCTTCGCTTCTCGGCTTCAGACGTTTTACCTTCCCCATGCACATTGGAAGTAGGTGAATCTGCGCCAGACATACCTACTATTGTGCAAAACACTGCCTATAGGCTTCTATCCAAAAACTAAAATATAGACACCGAAAGGCTGAGCAGGGAAAAACTGTCTGCCAGACGCGACGATTGTCCTATAATTCCAGGATTCCGATTGCTGCGTTTTGATGGTTTATTTACAGGTAAAGTTAGGTGATCAGTTCCATACAGTGAAGATATCCATAAAATACTAGAAACACCGAACCGCGTTCAGCAAAGTTTAGGCTTTCCCCCATCACCCCCTCTCTCCTTCTCCCTTTAACATGAACAGGTGATATCCTAATTTACTATCAGCACCCACACCATGTGATTAAAGCTTGTGAGCAACCAAAAGAAGGGAGCATTCAAGAACCCATACCTGGCTACTACATTCCGGCCCCTAATAATTACAGTCAATACACAGTAATAACTACAAATTCATTACACATGCAGGAATATACATTAACATACATTCATAGTCCATTGCAACAAATGTTCATCTGTCATCCATCATATAAATCATTTATAATCAAAGTTAGGTTACAAGTCTGATGTTTCCTGAAGAAGGCAGATCTTGGTGACAGGCCTACATACACAGCTGGTTGGAGTTTTAATCCAGACTTGTCACACAAGCCCCTCCTATTGGGAACTGTTTCAGTACCAATGATCCAGGAATTACGGGGTGCAGAATCATCCACTATGAGTACTATGTCTCCAGGGATGAAGTTGCACTTGACTCTTGTCCATTTCTGACGTTCTTGTAGTTGTGGTAGGTCCTCCTTAGTCCATCTTTTCCAAAACAGATTGGACATGTACTGAACCTGCTTCCATCTCCGGCGTGCATAGATGTCCTCCTTCTGAAACAGGAGGACATCTTACAGGTTGTAAGCATGGTTTGGCCTTAAAAAGAAGGTGGTTAGGATTCAATGCTTCTAAGTCATTTGGATCTGTAGATTCTTTACTGATAGGTCTACTGTTCAGAATTAATTCCACTTCACAAAGCACTGTGTGGAGTCCTCCTTCATCCAGACTTTGTGTCCTCAAAGTGGAGATGAGGATTTTCCTGAAGGAGCGAATCAACCTTTCTCATGCTCCTCCATGATGTGATCCAGTTGGAGGTTTGAAGATCCACTTGATCCCCACTAAAGTCAGAGCATCATTGATCTTCTCAAGATTCAATCCTTCAATGGCTCTTCGCAGCTCACGGTCTGCTCTGACAAAGTTGGTTCCATTGTCTGAACTCTTGAACCTGTCCTCGTCTCGCTATGAAATGTCTCAACGCGTTAATGAAAGAGTCTGTGTCCAATGACGAAGCCACTTCAATGTGTACTGCTCTTATTGTGAAGATGACTCCATATCTCTTCCCAAGGATTCTCCCACGTTTGACTTCAAATGGACTAAAATAGTCCACACTTCGACAAGATCTTCCTTATGGAAACACTAGCATCAGGAATCCAGTAGCTCTGATGTAATCTGGACAACATGTGATTCCTGCCTCCATGACCAACCTCTTGATGAATGTGTTGCAGAATGAGGTCAGTAATATGAAGATCTTTAGCTAGTATGGCAGGATGCTTGGACTCTTTGGACATGACAGCCATGACAACTTTTCTGAGAACCTTCTTCTCTGACAGAATCGTATTACCTGCATCTTGGCTTCCTTGATCTCTCCCACTGAGAGATACTCACGACAGAGCTTGTTTCTGAAGTTGTGCGGCTCACTGTGGACCGCACCTTCCTTTTGAATTGTATCTGAGGGAGACTGAGCAGGACGTGCAGTATCTTCTTTCTTTTTCCTGAGACTCATGAGTAAACCCTTGAGCCTTAGGATCCAGCCAATCACTCTTGTGAGACGTGTCCAAGATGAGGTGTGATTGGTCAAACATGTCACAGCGTCGTCTTCACCTTGGACTGCACACACTTCAATAGCAGCTGATAACCTTAACCTCAGGGTCTCCATCCGGCAGTTCCTGCAAGTTGTCTGGGTTGACGGGCCAATCCTCTTCTGACTGCGTAAGAAATGAAGGACCAGATGTCCACACTACATTCCTTAGAAATGGCTCGGCCCTCATCTCTGGAGGCCACGTCCGCTGGATTGTGTGCAGTATTCACAAATCTCCATTGAGAGGAGTCAGAAACCTTAAGAAGAAGAATCTCAGATTCTGTTTGCAACAAATGTACGAAACCTTGAAGTTTAATTCTTGATGTATTTCAGTGTAAGTACTGTCTGTCCAAAAGTGTTGAAGTTGCAGTCTTAACTCCTTTCTCCACAGTTTGTCCATTCGAGCTGCTACAACAGCTGCTGTCAGTTCCATGTGAGGGATCGTAACAGGTCTTAAGGTGCCACTCTTGATTTTCCCATTATGAATGCACTGTGTGTCTGAGAGCAGTTATTCTGCAGCAGCAGATAGGTAACAGTACCATATCCCTTCTCATTTGAATCCGCAAAATGATGTAATCAAGCAGTAGTTGCTTCTTCAAAGTTGAGAGGTTTTAAACAGCGTCTGATGCTGAATCCATCCAACTGGTGTAACTCTTCCACCCAGTCTATCCACTCTTGGGCAACCAGTGCTGGTATAGAGTCATCCCATCCTAGCCCCTTATGACACAGATCCTGAAGGATCCGTTTAGCTGTAAAAACAACAGGAGATAGGATTCCCAGAGAGTCATAGAAAGAGCTGACAGTTGAAAGGATACATCTACGGGTCAATGGTCTGTGTTGAATGGTAATGCTGTACTTAAAGGTGTCAGATTGAACACACCACCGCACCCCCAGTGCTCTTTCCACAGGTAGCGAGTCTTGATCCAAATCCAGGTGCTTGACTTCCTTTGCTTTCTCCTCCTCCTCCTCCTCCTCCTCCTCCTCCTTATCAGGTATAGCTGCCAGCACCTTGTGACTGTTACTTCTCCACTTTGTTAGATGAAAGCCACCCTTTGCACAGAAGTTTCCAAGGTTTTTGTAGAAGGCTATAGCTTCCTGTTCTGAAGCAACAGAAGCAAGACACATAGAAAACTGTGCATGATGGTGCAGATGAATGTCTGTGTTTAACCATATTTTCTGTTTGAGTTCTTTTTTCAAACGCAATGACAGTAGTGGCAAAGCTACTTCCCTGAGTCCTTGAGCGCGATGGTTTTGCTCTGCTATTTTCTTTGTTCGTCACCATCGGTGGGGCATCCTGTAAGTTTCCAAATACAGGGTCAGTTGTAATTTTGACTTGATGTTCAATAAAACCCACAATATCAATGAACATAGCTCTTCGGCGGTGTCTTTCCTGAATATCACATGCCACTGTTCGCCACTTGTCTCTCAATTTGTTGGGCAGTTTCCTTATCACAGTAAGCATATGGGCAGGAGTATTTTATTCACACAGACCGTGAACCTCATCCATGGCATTGCAACATCCACACAAGAAGAGACTGTATGCCTGTAAAGCCTTTCCATCTTCCGACTTAATTAAATGCCATGAAGTCACCTTTTCCAAGTATGCAGACACTATCATATACTCATTTCCAAAGTGTTCAAACAGTAGGGTTTTAGCCTTTGCATACCCAGTGCCATCAGTCCTGTTTTGACAGCTTCTGATAAGCTCTCTTGGTTGCCCCCTGGTGTACTGACCCAGGAAATGCAAACAATCTTCAGCATTATCAGTTCTTCCCTCAATAACCTGTTCAAAGTGTTGCATGAAAGCATGGTACTGTAGTGGATCACCATCAAATATTTGGATGCCTCTCTTCGGCAATGATGAAAGGCATTGCTGATTCATCAGCA